ACACACACACACACACACACACACACACACACACACACACAAGATGAACAGATGCACTCGCACACACACAAGAAGCAGTGAGGAAAGATCTGGAGCCAATTGTTCTCTCATGCCACAACACATTCACCCCCGCATTCCCCTGTGTTACATTAAATGTCCTGGCTTTTAACTTATGACTCTGAACAGGGAGAGATTATTAAGAGCGCACTCAACATTCATTACCGGGGTTGCGCGTTCCTGCACTGTAGCCTAATCAACAGAGAAGGAGGGCAGGGCAGTGTAAACAGAGCAAAAGAGGGATGAGTGGAGCCAGGGGAGAAAGGCGAGGCGAGCGAGTTGACCTCTGGCGCTAACATCGGTGACCCACACTTTTGACCAACAGCTTTTTCTATCACTTCTTGTCTCTGCATTACGTGGCCCACTACCTGCCAGCAACTCTGCACCCCGTAGCTCCGGTCGGCTACCTGACTCACAGCTCCAACAGGCGGTTTCAGGTTCACCGAGCATGATGGCCATGCGACCTTGCCGAGGAGGTCTCCGAGTCCTTTCGATTTGCATGGCCAAGGACGGCCCTGCGCACAAGACCGTGTGGCTGTATGCCAACAGGCTTTTTGCCTCCCTCCTTTTATCATAAATAAGAACAAGGAGGCTGTTCCCAGTTTGGGATGACCCACACTGATGTTTAAAAGTCTTGCAGTCTTGTATTTGGGGTAAAAAAGAAAAGAAAAGAAAAGAAGAAAAACTAGCTTTTCCTGGGAAACAGTAAAACGTGCAGTGGTTCGGTGCCAGCATGGATTTCCTGGCATACATTCGTTGTGAGGAAAGACGGACAGTCTTTTAATATTAGTGACATATAATGTACAACTTGTCTTCAAGTGATAGATATACAGATTTTTCCACTCTGGCTCATTTGGACTTGTCATGCACTCCCTTGGTACACTGCCTCGGGCATGGGTGTAGGCGCGAGGCTTCTTCCCTCCAACTATTTCCTCATGTAAGATCAGCAAGTTCTTTTTTTTTTTTTTTCAAATTCTGCTTTTGGCAGTAGTTTAAGTTTTTTTATGTGTCTATCACCAAGTCTTACATATATCTGGTGTTAAACCTGGTGTAATTGATGATTCCAGAGCAACTTGTGTTAGAAGCGAGTTATAAATCCTATTTATAAAGTAGAAATAAAATACTAAAGAGTTCGGCCCTGGGAAATAAAATATTCCATCAATAATTTAGTTAGTCTTTGTGAAATGCATTTTAAACGTGGTGAAATTGTGCCACGAAATAGGCACAGAGTTTCTGAAGTGCAAACAAAGCTGGAAATATATTTGGTGAATAGTACAGGAATAGTTCTACAGTAATTTATTTAACGACTGAACGAGCTTTGTATTTAGTTTCTCACTGTTGGTTTAATATCCATCCATCTGGACTGGAGCCTATTCCTGCTGTCATAGGGTGAAACATGGAGGTACACTGGGTTGTCTGTCTATGACAGGGCTTCATATTGGTCTGTTATGTGAAATTAAACTAAATAATCTAAAGAAAAATGCTGTATATTTTACGTAAGTTCTCTAAAAATAATGGGATGTTGCAAAACCTCGATCTTTTATTGAAGCTGCCAGGCAGCGTTGGACGCAGTGATGCGTCCTCCGTTAAAAAGTTCATGAACTCTAGCCTTCAAATTAGTGGCTCATGAAAAGGTTGAAGATGAACCAATAATAGATCAAAACAGGCCATTTGGGTTTGACAGAGTGAAGAGGAGGAAAACATCATCGGGCCATCATGTGATGTTGATGATGATGCAAATGATGATGATGATGGATCACTCTATTAATAGACCTGGCAGTGAAGTGACCATAGTCACAACAGATTAGAGCATCGCCTTGGATGAGAGGCCCCATTATGTCCAGAAGAAGGAGTCAGCTGCTTTGTCAAGAGGGCACCTCACAAACAAACCTCATTTGACTGAGCCCGTCTTTCTCTTTCCCCTTGCCCTCCTGCTCTCTCAGCTCTAACCCCGACTCTTTTTCTGCTGAGTGGGTGTTTTTGCGAAGTTTTGAAGGTCAGAGAAAGACTCTAAAGCGTGGAGCGAGCTTGGGGCTTTGACCTCTGATTGC